GCAGGAGAGGTCTGCTGCGCCATGTGGGTTGCTCTCTGGCTGGCTGGGGATCGAACTTGTGCTGCAGAGGGTCCAGATAGCTTCACAAGTGCTGTGCTTAACCCCTTAGGGCATCAGGAAGGCCCTGGCCTTCTTTTTTTAATAGCTGAATAATATTCCATTGTAGGCATAGACCACATTTTGTTTAAATGTACCTTGCTTCCATCTCCTGGCTATTGTGAATTGTGTTGCTGTGAAGATGGGTCTTTGAGATCCTGCTTTCAGATATGTATTCAGAAGTGAGGTTGTTGGATCATATAGTAGTTGTATTTTTATTTTCTTTTTCTTTCAAATCATTTTAATAACCTGGCTGTGATTCAGAATATGAAAAGAAGATTCAAGCTTGTTCCCTTTAAAGGGCATACTACCATGCATGATTGCTTCACAGGAGTTTTGATCAAAGGTAACAGTGAGACTGACTTACAGAGAGAGTAAGGGTGGATGGCTTCAAACTCAGTGAAGAGCTTGGTTACAGAAATTCTCTGAGGGGTAAAAGGTGGCCGAAGTGACTTGACATTTAAGGGACCCTCAGAGGCTGGGCCTTGGTTGTTGGGTTATAAGCACCTTGAAGTGTTTCTTGATGCTCATTCTGTTTCTTTTTTTTTTTTTTAAATAGAGGCATGTTATTTATTTATTTATTTGTTTGTTTGTTTTCGTTTTATTTTTTTTTATTTTTTATTTTTTTTAATTCTTTTTTTTTTTTTATAGAGGCATGTTTTTTTTTATTTATTCATTTATTTGTTTGTTTTGTTTATACATGCACTGGGTACAGTCAGAAGCATGGGAGGGTGAGAGAATTCACCAGAGCCAGAGCGGGGAGCAGAGCAGGCAGAAGGACCAAAGTACACTGCTGAGGGGAGCAGCGGGTGGCAGGAGAGGTCTGCGCGCCATGTGGGACCCTCCTCCGGTGGCCAGGGAGCAGCCGGGGATCGAACCGGCGCCGCAGAGGCCGCGGGCAGCTTCGCAACCCAGCGCTCAACCGCTGCGCCACCGGGGAGGCCCTTGTTTTCGTTTTATACATGCACTGGGTACAGTCAGAAGCGCGGGAGGGCGAGAGAATTCACCAGAGCCAGAACTGGGAGCAGAGCAGGCAGAAGGACCGAAGTACACTGCTGAGGGGAGCAGCGGGCGCGGGAGGAGAGGTCTGCGCGCCATGTGGGACCCTGCTCTGGTGGCCGGGGAGCAGCCGGGGATCGGCGCCGCAGAGGCCGCGTGCAGTTTCACAACCCAGCGCTCAACCGCTGCGCCACCGGGGAGGCCCGATGCTCATTCTGTTTTAAGAGTATTTATCTTCTGGAGAGAACTGAGCAGGTCTCTGTTGACCTATGGAGTCAGGCTTCACCTTATAGACCTAATGTCCCTTCTGGATAAATGTGACCACACCGAAGTCACAAGTTCCAATTCTCCTCCTGCCGGCCTCATGTTTTTATTTTCTTATCACATTTTTATTTTTAATTTTGCCTTGTTTTCTATAGTGGTTGTATCATTTTACAGCCTCACAAGCAGTGCAAAAGGGTTTAAAATTTGTCTACATCTTCACCAACACTTAATGTTTTTGGATAGTAGCTATTCTAATAGGTGTGAGAGAATACATCTCATTGTAGTTTTAATTTGCATTTCTCTGGTGATTAATGATGTTGAACATCTTTTTATATGCTTGTTGGCTATTTGTATATATTTTTTCTTTTTGTGTAGAAGAACTGGGGTGTAGGCCAGAGGTGCGGGGGTGTGTGTGTGAAAGGCTTCACCAGAGACAGAGTGGGGAGCAGAACTGGAAGATCTACTGAAATACACTGCTGAGGGGAGCAGTTGGTGAGACAGGAGAGGTCTGTTGCACCATATGTGGGTTAGCTCACTGGCTAGGGATCGAATTTAAGCCATAGCAGTGATAGAGCTGAAACTTAACCCCTAGGCCTCCAGAGAGTCCCTTTGTATATCATCTTTGGAGCAATGTCTGTTCAAGTCCTTTGCCCATATTTTAATTGGGTTATTTGATTTTTAAAAAAAAAATTTTTATTTATGCATACAAGACTGGGGTGTAGGCCAGAGTTGCAGGAAGGGTGAGAGGACTCACCAGAGACAGAGTGGGGAGCAGAACAGGCAGACTGACCGAAATACACTGCTGAGGGAAGCAGGGGATGTGACAGGAGAGGTCTGCTGCGCCATGTGAGTCAGCCATGTGAGTGAACTCATGTCACAGTGGCTGACAGTAGCTTGATAGTGCTGAGACTTTAACCCCTGCGCCACCAGGGAGGCCCAGGTTATTTATTTTTGTTGTAGACTTGTAGTTTATTTTTTCTGAAAGTTACTTTAATTCAAAGACAATAATAACACACAAACTGGTTAAAGGAACCTGTAAAACATTTGCCCAACCCCAAACTCATTACCCTAAGTGAACTTATGTACAGTAAGAAGACCCTCTCCCATTGCAATTGTTTTTTTAAGATTTATTTATATTAAGATTTATTTATGCATACAAGAACTGGGATATAGGCCAGAGGGGCAGGGGTGAGAGGATACACCAGAGACAGAGTGGGGAACAGAACAGGTGGATCTATTGAAATACACTGCTGAGGGGAGCAGCGGGCGAGACAGGAGAGGTCTGCTGTGCCATGTGGGTAGCTCCCTGGTCAGCTGGGGATCGCAATCATGTTGCAGTGGCTTGCGATAGCATGCTGTGCTGTGTCATGACGCATTTTTTTTTTTTAAAGATTTATTTATACAAGCACTGGGTACAGTCAGAAGCGCGGGAGGGTGAGAGGATTCACCAGAGCCGGAGCAGGGAGCAGAACAGGCAGACTGACGAAACACACTGCTGAGGGGAGCAGCGGACGCGGCAGGAGTGGTCCGCGCCCCATGTGGGACCCTCGCTGGCTGGCCACCGCCTGCAGGCAGCCTTACATCCCAGAGCTCAACCACTGCGCCACCGGGAAGTCCCTCATGATGCATTTTTGCAACAGATGGCACTAGTTCATTTTTGGAAGTACTAGAGTCATTTGCATCTATGTTATTGCTAGTCATTTGACAGTTCTAGCTTCATTTAAAAAAAAAAAGCGATTTGGTAGTTTTGGAGATTTTACAACAAATTGAAAATGGAAGATCAAATTGCATTTTCTTCATATTTTACTGTTTTACTTATGTAAAGGGAAGAACGTATGTCAAGCTTGTGAAAAATAACAAAGTTGGGCCTCCCTGGTGGCACAAGGGTTTAAGTCTCAGCACTATGAAGTTGTTGGCAGCCACTGCAGCACAAATTGGATCCCCAGCCAGGGAACTGATGACCCACATGGTGCAGCAGACCTCTCTTGTATTGCCCACTGCTCCCCTCAGCAGTGTATTTCAGCCTGTTCTGCTCCCCACTCTGTCTCTGGTGAATCCTCTCAAACACCCCGCCTTGCACCTTTGGCCTACACCCCAGTTGTTGTATGCATAAATAAATAAATCTTTAAAAAATTTGCATAAAATTTATGGTTACAATGCTCTACAAGAATGTCAGTGCCAGGAATGGTTCACAAAATTCCATGCTGGTGATTTGGATCTCAACGATGCTCCTCTGTCAGGGAGGCCCAATGAGGGTGATGATGACAAACACATTGATGGAGTCAAACCCATGTTACCTGGCACGAGAGATTGCAGAAACATTGAACAAGCATCATTCAGGTGTTCACAACTGCCTGAAAAAGCTGAGATACATAAGCAAGCTCAATATTTGGGTTCTGGGCCTCCCTGGTGGCGCAGCAGTTGAGCGCTGGGTTGTGAAGCTGCCTGCAGCTTCTGCAGCACCGGTTCGATCCCTGGCTGCTCCCCAGCCACCGGAGGAGGATCCCACATGGCGCGCAGACCTCTCCTCCCGCGCCCGCTGCTCCCCTCAGCAGTGTACTTCGTCACTCTGCCTGCTCTGGCTCTGGTGAATTCTCTCACCCTCCCGCACTTCTGACTGTACCCAGTGCTTATATAAATAAATCAATCAATCCTAAAAAAAAAAAAAAAAAAAAAAAGAATATATGCTTCAATAAAAAAAAATATTTGGGTTCTTCGTGCACTCAAAGAACTTCATTTGATGGCACGCATAAATATCTGCAGTATGCTCATTAAATGTGTGGGAAATGATCCTTTTTTGAAGCGACTGAGAACTGGTGATGAGAAGTGGTACGCAAACAGTGATGTGATGGTTCACCTCCAGTGACTTCAAAAGCAGGCATTCATCAGAGGAGGGTTATGCTCTCAGTGTGTGATTTTTTTTTTTTTTTAAAGGTTTATTTATTTCTGCATACAAGAACTGGGGTACAGGCCAGAGGTACAGGGGGGTGAGAGGATTAACCAGAGACAGAGTGGGGAGCAGAACAGGTGAATCTACTGAAATACACCGCTGAGGGGAGCAGTGGGTGAGGCAGGAGAGGTCTGCTGTGCCCTGTGGCTTGGCTTCCTGGCCAGTACTAAACCAGACCTGCAGTGGCTGCCAATAGCTTGATAGCGCTGATACTTTAACCTCTTGTACCACCAGGGAGGCCCCGTCCTTTTTTGATTTTAGCCATCTTTGTGGATGTGAAGTGTTAACTGTGGTTTTGATTTGCATTTTCCTAATGACTGTTGATGCTGAGCATCTCTTCATTTATTTATTGAGCATTTAAATATCTTTAAATAAGTATTTATGTATATCCTTTGCTAATTTAGAAAAGAGTTGTCTTTTATTATTGATTTGTAAGAATTATTTATATGGTCTAGATTCAAGTCCCATATCAGATATATGGTATGTAGATGTTTTTCTTACTCTGTGGAATTGTCTTTTCACTTTCTTGATAATGTTCGTGAAGCACAAAAGTTTCTAATTTTGGTGATGCCCATTTTATATCTATTTTTTTTCTTTTGTGGCTTGTATTTTTGGAGTCATCAGTTTTTTCTTTTAATTAAAAAAATGAAAAGATTTACAGTCTTTCTTACATGTAAAATTTTAGCATGCTAGATGTTTCCTGCATGGTTTGTCTTCTCAGTCATTGTCTGCAGGGCTCTGAGAAACTGTAGCAGTATGACAACGGAAGGCCCAGCTTTTATTTCCAACATTGTGGAAAAGGACTGTACATCAAGGGGCAGAAAGAAGCCTGTGCCCTCCTGTGCCTCCGCGACAATGTCTGGGAAGTGACCTCCCAGGGTGTCCACAGACCTTTTTTGTTTTTTTCAAGTCAGGTTGGCAGCATATTTTTTTTTTTTAAGTAAATATTTATTTTCTTACATCATTTTTTTTTTTTTTGGTACAATATTTGATTGCTTCCCTCAGGTGTGGTCCCCATAAATCTCCCACCACCAAATAATCTTTGAACTGTCACTGTAGTCCTGGTGCTCTTCCCTCCCACGTGTTGACCCCTTTCTCCCTCCCTCCCCTGCTGTTTGCCTCGATGTGTATTTTGCCTGGGCAAGTTTCGTCTCTTTCTGACCCTTTGTTTGGTTTCCCTGTATCATAAGTGAAACCATCTGATATTTTTCTTTTACCTTCTTATTTCACTGAACAAGGTGTCTTCCACCTCTGTCCATGTTATTGCAGATGGCATGAGTTTATCTTTTTGATTGCCGAGTAGTAGTCCATTGTGTATATATGCCAAATCTTTTTTTATTTTTTTGGCAAGGATTTATTTATTTATGCATACAAGAGCTGGGGTGCAGGTCAGAGATGCGGGGGGTGAGAGGATTCGCTAGAGACAGAGTGGGGAGCAGAACAGGCAGACGGAGTGAAATACACTGCTGAGGGGAGCAGCGGGGAGTCAGGAGAGGTCTGCTGCACCATGTGGGTCACCTCCCTGGCCGGGGATTGAACTTGTGCTGCAGAGGCTGCAGATAGCTTCAGAGTGCTGCGTCTTAACTACTTGCACCACTAGGGAGGCCCCTATGCCACATCTTCTTGATCCAGTCATCTAGTTTTGGGCATTTGGGTTGTTTCTACATCTTAGCTATTGTAACTAGAGCAGTGGTAAACATAGGAGTGCAGGTTTCCTTTCGAAATAATGTTTTTGTGTGCTTTGTGTAGATTCCTAGGATTGGAATTTTTGGGTCATGTGGTAGCTCCATTTGTAGTAATTTGAAGGTCCTCACAGAGCTTTCCATAGTGGTTGGACCAGTTTGCACTCCCACCAGCAGTGTAAGAGGGTTCCTTTCTCTCCACATCCTCACCAGCATTTGTTGTTGCCAGTTCTTTTTAATATGCACCTCAGGATGGTATCATATCTTAAGGATACTTTGTCTAGGGGCCTCCATGGTGGCACAAGGGGCTAAGCACAGCATTGTGACGCTATGCACAGCATTGTGACGCTATCCGCAGCCTCTGCAGCACAAGTTTGTTCCAGCCACCCAGGGCTAACCCACATGGCAAAGCACACCTCTCCTGTCTCGCCCGCTGCTCCCCTTAGCAGCATATTTCAGTCAGTCTGTGAATCCTCTTGTCCCCTGCGCGTCTGGCCTGTACCCCAGTTCTTATATGCACAAATAAATAAATCTTTAAAAAAAAGAAAAAAAAAAGAATACTTTGCCTAACCTAAGTCCACACATTTGCTCAAGCAGTTGATTTTTTTAACCAAGAATGTGGGTTATGTACATGGATGTAAATAAGATTACGAGTTTTGACTTTTGGTTAGAAAGTTGTAATGAGAGCCTCCCTGATGGTGCAGGAGGTTGGGCGCAGCACTGTGAAGCTGTCCGCAGCCTCTGCAGCGCAGGTTTGGATCCCAGCCAGCCAGGGAGAATCCCACATGGCACACAGACCTCTCCTGCTGCCTGCTGCTTCCCTCAGCAGTGTATTTCGTCAGTCTGCCTGTTCTGTTCCCCGCTCTGTCTCTGGTGAATCCTCTCACCCTCCTGCACATCTGGCCTGTGCCCCGGTTCTTGTAAAAATAAATAAATCTTTCAAAAAAAAAAGTTGTAATGAGTCTGACTTTGTGGTTAGAAGTCTATAAGCTTTAGTTTCGACTCCTAGGACAGCATTTTTTGGTAACTTTATCGAGCTATTATTTTGTAATGGGGGGGTTCCTGTCAAAAATAATGAATATATGTTTTATTAGTGAAAGTTTAACTATTTTTAGATATTTGGTTTACTTTCAGTTAGTTTATTTTATCCTTAATAATTAATAATGTACTTTTGAAACCTTGGTTGACTTTTTTTTTTTTTTTAAGATTTATTTATGCATACAAGAACTGGGGTACAGGCCAGAGGTGCAGAGGGGTGAGAGGTTTCACCAGAGACAGAATGGGGAGCAGAACAGGCAGATCTACCGAAATACACTGCTGAGGGGAGCAGCGGGTGAGGAGAAGAGGTCTACTGCGCCATGTGGGTAGCTCTCTGCCCGGGGATCAAACTCGTGCTGCAGTGGCTGCAGGTAGCTTCATAGGTTGCATCTAAACCCCTTGCGCCACCAGGGAGCCCCCAACCTTGGTTGAGTTCTTTGGAAGACCAAAGTGTTAAGATAGAATGTGTCATAGCATGCAGGTACCATAATTTCCGCATACTGAGGCACTATTACTAGGCTTTTAGATCAATGTGCATAGGAGAAGTAGACACTGAGAGCTACTGTTTCAAAATCAAGAGGCATTCAAAGCCTTAAAGTGGTAAATTCACCTTGCTGTTGTCAAATTTGGAATAGTGAGGACCATCTCTTTAAGATTTCAGTTTGGGAAGGATTGTGTTTTCTTATCAAATTCTCTGACCTTCTGTGTAGTTGTTAAGCTGGATATTAAAATGAACTTGAAGAAATTTTGGAAAATTTTTACCTGCTCCCTGTGTAATAGTGAAATTATAGAATTACTTCTACTGATCATCAGCTCTAGACTCTTTACTGAGGAAATAAAATTTTTTCATTCACACAGTTAGTGGCAGAATGTAAGTCATCAGAATAGCAGTTTAGCATTCTTTCTACACACACACACACACACACACACACATTTTATGATATAACTTGAAGGGCTTTTGTTCTTTGTCTTTGGGCGAGAGCTAAAATTATAGTAGTTACACAGCTAAAAAAGTCTAAAATGGGAAAATCTTCCACCATGAATTAAGTGGTCACCTTATATTGTGGTCCTGAAATTTCCATATCTAGCTTTGTGCAAAACTGATCATGAAGTCGGGCCTCCCCGGTGGCACAGCGGTTGAGCGCTGGGTTGCGAAGCTGCCCGCAGCCTCTGCAGCACCGGTTCCATCCCCGGCCACCGGCAAGGGTCCCACATGGCGCGCGGACCTCTCCTGCTGCCCGCTGCTCCCCTCAGCAGTGTATTTTGTCAGTCTGTCTGCTCTGCTCTCCCCTCTGGCTCTGGTGAATTCTCTCACCCTCCCGCGCTTCTGACTGTACCCAGTGCTTGTTTAAATAAATAAATCTTTTAAAAAAAAAGGGAAAACAAAACTGCTGTAGAATACTAATTCTACTCAAAATTGCAACATAATGAAAAACAAAACAAAAAAAAAAACTGATCATGAAGTGGGGCTTTGGTGCATTTTTATTTTAGTTACCTAATGGTTTTAGCCTTTAAGTTAGCTAGATAATCTTGGGATTTAGCATAATATTTCTTGGGTTTTTTTTTTTTAAAGATTTATTATTTATGCATATAAGAACTGGGGTACTGGCCAGAGGTGTGGGGGGTGAGAGGATTCACCAGAGACAGAGTAAGTAACAGAACAGGCAGACTGACTGAAATACACTGCTGGGGGGAGCAGCGGGCGAGACAGGAGAGGTTTGTCATGCCATGTGGGTAGCTCCCTGGCCGGGCATGGAACTTGTGCTGCAGAGGCTGTGTATAGCTTCACAGTGCTGTGCTTAACCCCTTGCGCCACCAGGAAGGCCCTCTTGGTAGATTATATATACACAAAACAAAAAATGCCCCCACGCCCCCAACATACAACTTAGTGTCTTTCTCATATTAACGTTAAAGTATTCAAATTCATTGGTAGTTGGTATTATTAGGTAGTTTTTTCACCCACATTTTTTTACCCCCAGAGTATTTTCAGATATACATTGTTTAGATATTTAATGAATTACGTTAATTAGCTCTACTTAATAGACATGAGTGGTTTCCAGTGTTCTTATTCCAAACAGTGCTCCATTGAAAAGCCTTGTGTATGTGTGTTTTTGCATATTGTGCACTTTTAGTAGAGAGAAATCCACGTAAGTGGAGCGGCTTGGTCAGAAGTATGTGTGCTATTGATGTTAGGAATATTATGTTGGTTTTTCTCACAACAAACCAACGTTTGTGTTATATTTTTTGTTTTTTTGAGTGATGTTTCTTCTGAAGTGATGAGAAGTCATACTTCAGAATGAATTATGGAAGTTAAAAATCACTAAATTGTCCCTTTTTGATAACTTTTGTGTGATAGGTGGGTGTATAGATTTGTGCATATATATATGTCTTCAAGTTTTATGGGGAGATAATAGACTTGTATCACTATGTAAATACAAAGCATACAGCATAGTAGTTTGGTTTACATTTATTGTGAAATGATGGACCACAGTAGTTTTAGTCAACATCTGTCTTTTTTTTTAAGGATTTATTTATTCATACAAGAGCTGGGGTACAGGCCAGTGGTACAGGGGGTGTGAGAGGATTCACCAGAATCAGATTGGGGAGCAGAACAGGCAGATCTACTGAAACACACTGCTGAGGGGAGCAATGGGCAAAACAGAAGAGGTCTGCTGTGCCATGTGAGTTAAATTCCTGGCCAGGGATCAAACTGGTGCTGCAGAGGCTGCAGATAGCTGCAGAGATCTTCATAATGCTGCTACTTAACCCATTGTGCCACTAGGGAGGGCCTGACAACATCCATCTTCTTATGTAGATAAAGTAAAATGAAAAGGGAAAGTTTTTTACCATGAGAACTCTTGGGATTTACTTTTTTAACAACTTTTCTATATAACATGTATCCGTGCTAGCTGTAGTCATCAGGCACATTGCATCCCTATGTGAGTTGCTTCCTGGCCGTCCAGGGATTGAACTCTTGCTGCAATGGCTGGCGACAGCTTCATAGCGTTGTGTGTTTAACCCTGTGCCACCAGGGAGGCTCTGTACACTCTATCTCTATACATTCATCTATTAATGGAAATAACTTAGGTTTTCTGAAGTATTTCCATGTCTTGACTATTACATACAATATTTTTATGAGCAAGGGGTACAGATAACCTTTTTGAATTAGT